ATGTATATATCCTTGGGAAAGGTATGAATCCTCTTCTTCTAGCCACCCCCTCCAGTTATGGGTAAATAGTAGGACAGACCGGGTTCTATAGCCTTGGATGGCAATTGGTCTACCGCAGAAAGAAATGGCAATCTACTGCGGCAAAAAATTTGCCTCGTCAGTCATGTATCGAAAGATACATGATCGCCTAAGCGTGTATCGCGCATGGCACATAACTAACTGACTAGGTTGTTTTACTGAGTGTGGAAGAATATGAGAAAAAGAAAAGCATTATTAAGGTTGGTCATTTTGTTTTACGGTTTATCAACCTATTATTAAGGAGAGAGAACAATAAAAGAAGAAGAATTAAGAAAAAAAGATAACGATTGTCATTATATTTAAATTTATGAAGTTGACGCACATCAAGTCATTCCAGTTGTAAAATGATGAGATCTAATTGTTAATCTAGTATTTTATGCTAGTATAGAATAAAATAAAAATTCTTAAACTATTGGTTAAGGTTATTTTAAAACATTAATAGCAATTTATTGATTATTGCACTGCTGCTGCTCCGTATTTCTTTTCATTTTCTAAAGGTTTTTCGCGCGCTTTTTAAGATAGGGTTGAAAGAGATATTTATAGTTTTGACCACTGACCTCACTGGCTACCGTGCGTAAATAAAAAGTAAATATTATCTTTACAGAATCCAGTTAATTAATAATTAAATTTACTGACTTCAAAACATATCACTTGAAAAAATATTGGATTTTTCTCCTTTAATTCGCCGAAAAAACAGCATTGGATGATGAAAAAAGGCCCTAAACTTAATGAAAACGAAGTTTTATCGTCAAATTTTTTATGTTATTATTAAGAGAATAGACCAAAGTATTTTTTGATTATTTTATCAAATTTTTACCTCCTTTCTAGCACTTTTAAAATTTTGGTTAAAAATCTTTTTTTTTTTTTTTACGCCAGCGGTCGACGTAATATTTACCATTAGTGTTATAACGCCTTGTAAGAGTGTAAACCTCTCCCTTGAGTGGTTTATAACACCCTATTTATCATCTCTCAGTTGCGTCTCTGTCTTTGGGCAGAGTGCACTAAAGGGGCGACTCCGTCAGAGACAGAGTCGCAACTGAGGAAAATTATACTGAGAGATGTCCAGCCCTGGGGAACAGCTGCCCGATGCCCCGCCCTCTCATTGCACCAGAGAGAGGGATCGGTGCTCGCACCTAGCGTAACCGACGGTTGCGGGCAATTTTTGTTCCTGTCCCGGGTGTACGCGCTCGAGTACCCACCTTAAAAAGACCTTGTCGTCTTAGTGGGGAGACAGAGTGAATACCTAGTGTTATAACGCCTTCTGTGTAAACCCCTCCCTCGAGGGGTTTGTAACACATTATTTATCATCTCTCAGTTGCGTCTCTGTCTTTGGGCAGAGTGCACCCAGGGGAGAGAGAGGAAATGTGTTATAACGCCATTTTTCAGGTGAAAAACACATTGATTTGGAAATTCTTGCGAAAATCAAACAATAGTCGAATTTTAATGAAACTTTCAGAACTTAATTACAAATGAATTATTAGGTTGGTGCAAAAAATAATGTCGTTTTCTCTTTTGAAGTTGAACGTCAAAAAACGACGTTATTTTTTGCACCAACCTAATAAATTATTTTAGACATGTTTTTAGTTTTTAGAAAGTCACAGTAAAAATATTTTTTTACATTTATTACCCCCGCCTTACTTAATTTTATGAAAACTCGAGAAATTCGACGACATGCCTTTTTTTTGTTTGCTCATATTGGTTAAAAGCAGAAGACTTTGAAGAATATAAATCGATTCTTTTGTAAAATCGAATCTGTTGCGGAAGCGAAGAATGGGTAACCTGGAAGACAGAACTTGTCTCTGCTGTTGTTACTGCTGTAGAGGTTAATTTCTTCTTCACCTCAGCAGAAGTGAATTCAATGAAAATGAATACATCGGATTTTGGGTAAATAAATGTATAATTTATTTATATATATACAAAGCCATTAAACTACTACACGTTCCTGTTGTAAAGGTAAAAATCACACAGTTACCCAAAGTTCAGATCTAAATTGTAACATACAAAACTCAATAAAACTAAGACATTATTTAATTAGAAAAGCTTTTAATGGCTTTTATGAACAATATGTTACGTAAAATATTGTCTGAAGCCAAAATATTTTTCCGATGAAAAATGAATTTTTACAAGAATTGTTTTTTTTTCAATTTTAAATAAAAATGTGATAAAGTTGTTAAAATTAAGTTTTAGTCCGTGCAGTTTAGGGAATGCCGTTATTAAGAAAATCTATCTTTCTTTACGGATTATAAATTTGAAAGCTTATTACAATCTGCAACACATGTATTTTAAAAAGAATTTGACGCTGTTTTTGAGTTTGCTTAAAATTTTTTTTCCAAATATATGGATGAACGTGAATGAGCTTAATGTCACGTGTGTTTAAGAGTTGTTTCTCCTGGCGGCAAAAAACTGACCTTAAAAAATATTAGTTTCCGTACTGCGAACATGTGTTGAATTCTCTGACGGACTTTGACCATCAGCGTCACATTTTTACAAGCTTTATTTTTTTTTCTCCTATTTCAATAAATATTTTAATTTAAATTGTTAAATATAATTTACTCTTTTCCAGTGAAATACATACTGCAATTATTATTATTTATTTATTTATTTTAGTTTTTTTCAGTTCTAGGGACGGGGACAAAACAATTAGTAAAAATAAGGAAAATTAACACATTAAAAAAATGACATTTCATAAAAATGAGAGAGGAACCTATAATTATTAGGTACCTATAATTATTAGTTACCTATCTTATTTATCAAATTGTATGTTATTTTTTTTAATTATTCATTTTTATATTATTTCATTCGTGAAATTTTTTCATAATTAAGATATAAAAATTAATAATAAATAAAAATAATATCATAAAATTTTGTGATGTACGTAAAAATTAGGTACCTCTCTTATGAAATTTTATCTCACTCTCAGTTATGAAATTTTAAATTTATTTTATTGATAGTAGTTTAAATTTTATTCATCCAGAAATCATCTTGAAACGTAATGCTATAAAGCTAAAATACTTAAAAACAGAAAAAAAAAATCAATAAAATATTGCTGAAAGCATTTGTTAATTTTTAAAAATTACTGTGTAGTTAAATTATTTCACCTGATTCAAAAAAAAAAAAATTGTTACTTCTGTTCTACCGTCCAATAAATTCCCTTGCCTAAACTGTCAATACGTTGATTTAACTGTCAGTTAACACTGTTGCGACTGCTATGCTTTTCCACGCCCACATTTTATTCGTCTGCGATTGGCTAATAAACCAATACTGCCTTTCTATAGGACAATTTAGTTATCGCAGTCGTTGCTTTGAATTTTCGATTTTGAACTTGCTTACTTGTTTCGTTAGTACAAATTTAGCGATTGGTCAATTTTTAACCAATCACATATTTTAGTGCAAAATCAACTTTTCCCGCGGTTTCGCTGGGAGCCTCTCTGTAGCTTTAAAAGAGGCGACTTTTTCACAAGCCGCCAGTAGAGTCCAGCAGATTTCGCCTATCAACACAAATCTATGACATTACTCGCATTTCAAACGCACACACAGAATTTTGTAATACATATATACATATCTCTCTGTGACTCAGCCAAGTTCAATCAACCAGGCCTCTGTTGATTTCTCTAACACAACACACTTTCTGATCAATTGTATTCTTGTGTTATCTATTCCAACAGCAGACTTGTTCTAACATAGATTCCTGAACATTTCTCACCTACGAGAACTTTCTTCGAACAATCAATCACAAATCAAAAATACAGTTAAAGGGGAGCAACTTCTTTTCCCTTAATCTATACATTGAATACAAATTATTGTATATTTTTTGTTCTTGTATGTTATTTCAATATATACTTGTTGATTCACATTTGGAGTTTCGTTGTTTTCTTGAATCATTAATAATACAAAAGTATGCGCTAAAGAACATGCATGACAACACCTTCAAAACAAATCAATGACTTTTTAATGGTATTCAGCTGATAAAAAAGATTTTAATAAAAAATTCGAATGATCTAAAAAGGATTAACAAATTTAATAAAATAATCAAAAAATACTTTGTCCTTTCCTTTTAGTAACAACATAAACATTTAGACGATGAAAATGTTTTTCATCAAGTTTAAATTTTTTTTTATCATGGTAAGCTTTTTTTTGGTCGAATTAGTGGAGATTCCTAGATATTTTAATTTTAAATTTGTTTACATTGGCTGTTCGATGAGAGTCTAGTAAAAGTGCGAATGTTTCAAAAATGCCTACAAAGTGTATGTTTAAAATATTTTAATTCGGATTATAAAGCTATTTTGAATTAAAAAAAGAATTATCTTTCAAAGAAAACCGAAATTTAATTTTGAAAGTGTTTTAAATTATTTAACATTTTAATTTGTAACATTTAATTATTTAACATTTTAATTTTTAAGATTTATTTAACATTCTAATTTTCAACATTTTAATTAAATTTTTTTTAATTAAATTTCTCGAATTTTTGATAACTTTCCATTTCCATAACAACACAAAATATAAGGAGGACGTTTTCTCTTCCTCTCTTGTCGAACTGTCTGCTTCCGGGCGAAGAGAAACCCAGACTAGGCTATACCAAATGCCAGAGTCTCGTTTGGGGTGGTAGACAAACCCGACCCCCGTATATACGGGGTCTACGGGCAATTTTTGCCCGAGCCTACGGGCTCGGAACGTCCCACGTTAAAAGCTGACCTTGTGCCACGTCTTGCCTTTGTGGAGAGGTGGTAAATAGAGAGAGGTTACTCGTCCAAAATAACAATTATTTCCTTTTGGTTTTATAAAACCATAACATTATTCATTGCCATAAAGTCGTCGTTTTCCTTGAGACACTGGTAAAAATCATAATCGCATAATAGTACTAAAAGCACGACTATAATAAAATACCATAACAAAACAAGCAAGACGAAAAAACACGTGGTTGAATGCAGCAGGCGGATGTGACGTCACTTGCCGGCCGCCCGGTAAAAAACGATCCGGAAGTTAAACACTCCTGTCATAGTTTTCTTTCTTTCTGGCTATCTAGACCGGAAGTAGCGCTCTTCAATACCCGAAGAACAATTTCATACATGCCGCACGAGAATGGCGGTTGAATTTAACCTGTCAACAACGGTCTATCTAGTTTTTGGGATTTTGACCGTCCTGACCCTTTGTCCTCTAAGTTATGGGGCCAAATTGAATGCCCCACAGATTCTGCTGCCCTTCAGTCGAACGGCAGCATCAAATTTTACATTGAAAGTTATTTTAAGCCCCGAGGAAGAATTGGCCGAGCCAGGACATTGTTACACATGGTGAGCTTTTCTTTCTTTTTTTTTTTTTAAGTGTGACTGTGCAACTTGTAATATCAAACCGTTGAAGAATGGTTAATATTTGGAGTTTGTCTCTTGGGGATATTGAATGAAATACTTTTTTAGACCAGTTTGACTGCACAGTTTATACGAAAACTTAATCACTAAAATTAAAAAAATAAAAAAAGCTACGTCGACTTTAGGAGCGATTTTTCATAAAAAGTAACTAATTGTAATTAGTCGCATTGCGTCGAATAGTTGTGTTTTTTAGCGAACTAAACTGTCCTTTTGTTGGTCAGGGTCATTGTTTTCAATGTGGTAAAAAAAAATAGCATAAAGTGACTGCTATATCAACTCTGGTCGTTCCATTTTTCTCTTAATTTTGGGCGAAGCAGACTGTTTCTTTGTCTCCTCTTGGTTTTATACACACACACACACACACACACGTATGGCTAGTATTAATACTGCTTGACAAGAAGTTTATTATCTGTTTGTCCAACAGCGTGTTAATTTCTCTATTGGTCTGGTTTTGTTTACAGCAGCACAGACAGTCCTTTTGTCGCCTTTATGTTAAGAAAAAGAATTGGAGGCGAGGGGTCTAATTCTATAATGCCTTGTAGTTAGTAAAACAAAATAAATAAAATGTGATGTACATATTTTGAGCAGAAAATGCGTGTACTTTTCCTACAACTTTGTTCAGACTTCAAAGCAAAGTTTTAATTCAAATTGTTTTTTTTTAGTACATTTCTTCGTTAGTCACGTTGTTTTGTTACAATGTAACAACAGTTACATAAGAGAAGACTTTATTTATTTTAGTATTTGGCAATTTTTTTTTTTCAAAATATTAATAATGCGTGTAAGTATTTTTTTTTTCGCATTTCAAACGATTTCTGCATACCAAAATTTACCTCCTTTACATTCCCCCTTTTTTTTTTTTTTTTACTTTAACCTAATATTCCGAAACCCCTCTTTGGCTAGTTAAAGAAAGAGAATACTCAGAACTACGAAAGATAGGAGGTTGTGGAGCGCTATAATCACCCACTTTCTGAAAGAACATGTGTACATTCAAGTCCTCGGTTAGTGTTCGTAGAAATAGTTGGGGGTGCATTAGTAAATAAATCGAAAAAATAACATGCCCCTCCCCCTGAAAAAGTTATTTTTTTTTTCCCATCTTGTTTGATAGTGTATGTCGAGGAGGAAAAAATGCAGCTTTCAAAATGTTACATTTACAACTGAGTTTTAATTGGTCGAAAAATATGTAAACAAAAATTAAAAAAATGCCTTCCTCTTCACTGATATTAAATATCAGTTTTTTACTTAATGAAAAGCGAATGTTGAAATACATTGCATATGCATTTATTTAATTTTTTTTTTTTTTTTTAACTCAAAATTGAACATAGAATATGAGGCCACATAAAAAAGTGTACTATAAGGGAGGTAATTGTTTGGTATGCAGAAATAGTTTGAATGAAACGTTAAATTTATTTAAATGCTGTCCAATTTGAGAAGATGCCAATTCAAAAACGTTCATCAGAATAATCATTTTTTGGCCAACATTTTTTTTTTTTAATTTTGGTCTTTTTATTTTTATTTTTTTTTACTTTTGAACTTTATTCTTTTTTTTTACTTTTGAACTTTGTTCTTTGAATGAAATAAATCCCCAGTTGTTGCCTCAACCAGAAACATAAAAATGCAGCTCTATGTGTGTCTGTTTAATATCGTACAATTGCTGCCATATATGGTCTGGAGCCCCTTCTGTTTGCCTCGGGGGTTCTTGATAGGCTCCAGAGGCGGATATGCAATATAATTGGCCCTGCTCTGGCATCTCATCTACAGTCACTTTCTCACAGACGTGTCACCGCCTCTCTCTGTCTGTTTTACAAATACTTTCATGGTAGTTGCTCAGAGGAGCTGCATTCGCTGGTTCCCAGATTTCATGAATTCAAGCGCCCTACGAGGCTGGTGTCCCGCTCTCACCCCTCCTAAATGTAGCTGTCTCTTCTACTCCAATAGCTTCATGTCTCGCACCTCTCGCCTGTGGAACTCCCTTCCCTATTCCAGTTTCCCTGAGAGCTATAATCTCCAGTTATTCAAATGTAATGTCAATCGACATCTCCAGTTGCCTTGATCTATCCACTACCCTTCTCCTCATCCTTTCCTCTATCACTCTTATCTGATCTTGCTCCAAATTTTCTATAACCCCTTGCGTCCTAGTGGCTTGGGGTGAAACGCTTAAAAAAAAAAAACAAAAGTTTTACTTTCGTGTAAGAAAAAAAAAAACATCAAGTACTCTCTACATGCAGATCTAACAAGTAACTTTTTTTAAGATGGAAAAATGTGTTTTTTTTTTTTTTTTTTTTTTTGGGGGGGTTGAAAAAAAATCAGGTAATTTTTTTTTCTTTCTTTTTTAACACAAATCTGAAATTCGTCATCTCGGTGATTCTCTGCTTCAGTTCCTCTCGGCTTCTAGGAAGACGGGGTGGTTATAGACATGTCCTTTCATATTGTTTCATAGAAAGAAAAAAAAATCACAAGATCTCAAGTCAGTACATTGTCATTATCACTGACATGCCTGATCCAAACTTTCTGGTAGATTCTCACTGAAATAATTTTACACTGACGTGCTAGAGAATGTTAAATGCTAGTAGAGCGTGTTTGGCAGGGACTGGAGCACCAACTTGGCGTGTGTCGTATCACAGATGTTGCACATATTGAACATTTGTGAAGCTTTGTGAATTTCTTGTTCGAATTTTGATAAATAAATCTTTTATTGTTAAACATGAAACTTATTTAATTTCATTTGGCTGCGACATGTAGTTGCTCAAATATTCACATTTTAAATGATGTCAATTTTTTGGTGAGTGGGAGGACACTCTGTATGTTCAGTCTTAAACAGTCATAAAAATGACTTCAAAGGGCTGCACATTTTAATTAGCTGTTTTTTTTTTTTTTGTCTCCAACTCTGATTTTATTATTCAGCCCAGGGTAGGGGTTGTCCAGTCTGAAGAGATATTTCAGTGTACATTAAAAGGGACAAGAACATGTAAGTCACTCATGCACAACAGACTTGTATACAATATATATGTGCATGCAAATGGTAATGGGTCATCACATATCAATTCAATCATTAATACCCTACACACAAGCCGCTAATGGCCTGCCGATGTCAGTGGTCCTCTTGTAGCAGCCACTAGTGGTCTCTCAGTAGTAACATTGCTGAAAGGAACATGCCTGCAGTCTGATAACAGTAAGGTATGTTTTCCTAATCTTTTTCTTATCTATGGACTTATCACCTTTAGCAGAATGTCAGTATTAGATCATAATTAAGAAATTACAGAATTTTTGAGGAAAAAAACTATTAATAGGTCTAGAACTGTCAACTTTGAGAGACAGTTAATGAAACTTGCTGGTATTTAATCCCCAAATAATCTAGTTTTCAAATTTTGTCACCCTTTTGCTGTGTTTAGGGAGTGAAGATGATATTTCTCAATTTTTATGTGTGGTTGGCTGCTTAAAATTTTTTTCCCCACTAGAAAACTGCTAATATCTACGTTTTTGTTACTCCTTGTAAAATTCTGAGGGGATATTTAGATTCCATAACTAAAAAATCTATGATAGTATTAAATTTAATTAATTTCTGGCCAATGGATCAGACGACATAAGGGGTTTGTGAGATTGTCGAGTTCAAAAATGGAAATGTCCATCAACAGAAAATGCTGATTCAGCAAAATTTCAACTTGATTTTCTAATGACTACATCTACAACATTAGCAGTTTCCTTATAAGGAAACATTTAGCATTCATTGACCAAGCAGTCGGTGCCACTGTCAGTTGAAATTTATAAAATTTCTCATTAAGACAAATTTTTTTTTTCCCCTCTGGGCAAGTTGCTTTTTCAAGTACTGTAGCTGGTATCGCTTTTCCAGTATTGGAGGTTTCCTTCCTAACCTTTTGCTTGAAGAAGTATGGAATGTCAACATCTTTATTGTCTTTTCGTTGCATGTTATTCATTTTGGTTGGTACTGCTGTGAAAATCCTGAAAGTGATAACGTTTCCATTATTTGGTAAATGCCAATCTACGAGTTTTGAAGAAGAAAGATCCTTTTTAAGACCAATAGGCTTCATTTGCTCAAGACTCATTTTAACCATTACTAGTATGTTATAAAAATTAGTACATTAAAAAAAAAAAAGAAAGAAAGAAAAAAAATAGACATTGGTAATGGTAATATTAGCCATTTCTTTGAGGATGCTTTTCTTCACTCCCTGGTCATCTGTTAAGATCAAAGTAGTAGTATCTGTTCTCCTAATCTCTGATGGTAAGATTAGCCATTTGCTTAAGAGGAAACATTGTTAATTGGAGAGCAAAGTTTCAATTTCCATTAGGTTTTTTATCTTCGCCTACATGCAAATACCATTGGGAAAGTTTTGAATCCACCTCTTCTCCCTACAGCTATGGGTTAATTAGTAAGACGTGTATCTCTAGAACATTATTTCCAAAAATAAAATTGTGGATGAAATATTTAGATTTTAGCAGTGAAATAACCTGTAGTCGTTGATATGCTGCAAAACAAAAACTAACCTCCCAAATCATACCATAATCAAACAAAAGTAAACAGAACAATGAACCATGTGTGAGAAAGACACACACTTTTTGTCTATATAAATAAAGTGCAGTGTACGTGTGTCTGTCCGTCTACTTTTTGATCTTAGCAAATCATGAACAACCTGAAGTAACAGGTAGTAACTACTGCCGTTAGATGCGATTGAAAGTTAAATGACTCATTTAATGTTCAATTTAAATATCGAACAAAGTGAAAGGCTTAAAAAAACAATACTTTATTAAAAGTTTAACTTGAATTTTGCTTTTTGTTGCAATTGATATCATCTAATTAAAACTTAATTAAAAATTAAGTGGGGGTACAGTATGTTGCTCATATGTTTTTTTGTTTTTTTTCTTTCTCTCTTTTTCAAGCACACATACTGGGACATATTCAAAATATTACA